AAAACCACCTTGAATACCTATATATATTGCTATACTTGCTATACTTACATTTCATATCTTTGAAAATAACACTTAATCAAAAGCAGTATATGACCTTAACGTATCGCATGATAAACTGAAATGTATAAACGCTTTCTTTCTACCACTCCCTACACATCAAAAAAGTGAGGACATACGGCGAAATAAAGTGACATTTTTTTTAAGGAAAGGGAGGAGCGTATGATATCTCAAACTCATGATCTCTCAAACTGTGCCAAGGGTTTTGCCATGCAAAACCTCCCAAAACATTTGCAGCTATGAAATAAAAATTGCTTACATAAACTCTGCATAGAAGCGTTTCAATGTGTTAATCAACCCCTGTAGGTAATTGTAGAATTTTGTTGATATATTTTTCACAAATAAAACTTGCTACTATTATTTGAAGCTATGAGCTTTGAATGATTTTTAGACGATTTTGTTTCAGAAGAAACGAGCAAAATAAGTAGTGCACGAGCTTGATAGTTGCGTATCAGCCAGACACTGGTAACTAATGAATGAAGTAGATTTATACATGTCTGGCGTTTAAATTAATATTTTATAATATACCAATGCAGTATTACACATAATTATTAACATGAATGTGCGTTGTAGGAAGCGTATTGTTTAAATTGGTGCCTAGAGTAATTAATTTATAGTATAATTTAGTTAATGTATTTTCCATATTCATTGCATCGGTTCTAACTATGTAATCAACTGTCATCCTCTAATAAATGGTTATCCTAATGACCTGTATTTAGCAATAATTTTGATTTAATATTAGACTCATTTAGATTTCTCACCATCCCTTTGGGGTTGCTAAATAATGGTATTCTCTATAGAATTAACCTTTTTGTGTCAAGAATCCGAGATAAAAGATGTTTAAAAAAAAATTAATAAAATTGGTAATTGAAAAATTATTATTGTTAGGATTTATTTTATAGTTATAAGATAGTTTCATATAGAATAGATCGAAATTTATTAAAAGAAACTATCAAATTAGCATTTTTTTATAACAAGTTTTTTTTTTTGTTTATTATTAAAAGTGAATGAAAAAAATGTTTGTACATGACCGCTGTTAGTCATAGTGGTTGATACAATTGAATAATTAAAGAGGCAATAAATAAAGTAAATCTCTGCCATTTTTTACATAATTATTAACCTGTGGCATCCCTAGGTTAAGAGTAATTGTTGTTCCGTCCTTGGAGCTCATTGTGCTGTTTAGTTTTTCACAATATTTAAGGCAATAGAACACATTTTTTAAAATTATTTGACGCATGGTTTGCGCATTTTATTTGAAAACAACACGCATTTTTTAACCTATTTAAGACTATGGTTGCGAAAATGCAATATTTCGTTTTGACGTAAGAAGCATTGTAAGAAAAAACATTTATGCGTATACTAATCCGTACTCTAACATCTAACTCCTCTGGTAACATCTAAACTTCCTCCTATTTTTTAATTATTAATTTTTTTTGTTATTATTGACATCAAGTCAAGTACAAGCTTATAAAAAAAAAATTGCGGGAGAGAAAAGTTTTTCTACAACATTAGATAAATTATTATTTTTTAAAGAATAAAATTTGAAAAAAAAAGAACAACTTAAAATTGCAGTAACCTTCAAACAAATTCGAATTTTGAAGAAAATTTTTTTTTTTCATTCAAAATAGTCTTATGTGCACTTTTTCAATTTCAACTTTATAGTTACATTTCAGTGAAAAGTAAATCCTCTAATATGTCTTTCTTTAAATTTTTAATTTTTTCTTCTTCCTACAAGTTAAACAGTTAAAAATTCTCGAACGAACTGATAATCGAATAGTACTCTTTTTTTTACTCCATCGAACTCCTTATACATTTTGCTACTCAACTTCGTAATTTCGAGTTTCTAAGTCTTATAGATTTTAAGAAACGAAAAAAAAAAAGTAACTTAAAGCAAAAATAAACTTTGTGTTGAATTTATAAACAATACGGCCCTTTCAGCACGCCAAATTTTAACGCTGTAAGTTACCTGTAGAGCGGTCCGTATGGTATTTTTTCCGACAAACTTAATAGCTAATAATTCTAGAACTAATAATCGAATGTTAATTTCCTTATTACATCATAATTCTTATATGCTTATATCTACACCTTAGAAGTTTTTAATTCTTATACTTTTTGTGCAGTAAAACAAAATACAACGTTAAGGTGAACACCCAAAACAGCAGCTTCGTCAGCCCTTTCAATTTTTTAATATCTTATAACCGTCGTTGAACAGCCGACTCAATTCTGAGTTTACGATTATCCCTGTAAAGCTTCGTAATTTAGAATTCAATCCAGAAGAAAAAGGAACTCGTAGATCAAGTATTGGGGGGAAATTTGCCTTCGTGGAGGACTTTTTGATGGAACTAACTCACATTTGCGTAACATGGAGAGGAAGACCACGAGAACCTCCAACGGTTAGCCTGATTTCAAGGGGACTCTACCTCTGAGGATATTTTACGTCAGCACTGTGGTCGTTGCAAGCTGGGTGCGGAATTCTTATCGATCGGCAATCAGTGGGATTCGAACTTTATTTCCTGAGCCACCACATTTCTACAATTTTTCAATGTCGAGAGAACTATTAGAAAGAGAACATAAACAATTGAAATAATTGCATAAGATCTGATAATAGTGCGGTGAAGTTTTTATGCGATGCGCAAATTAAAGAAATTTTGCTAACCTTAACTGTTATTACACTAGAATTTTAAATTTTCTCAGAATCTACAATTTCCACCTAGCGAAATATTTAACACGGTTCTTAGACAATTTTATAACAACAAAAATACGATGTTCGATCATTCAATAAATTTGTAACCATCCCTATATGTTATTTTATAAAGAGAACATACATTCATGAGAACTGTGCCCTACTAGATTTCTAAACGCTAAAGTGGTATCTTAAATAAGGAATTTTCTGCTAGCTTTAACGTAAATTAACAAACACTAGAAAAGAAAGTTAGAAAGGAGTTACTAATTTTAAACGTCTCATTTTGGTCGATCTGAACTTTTCATGGGTAAAAGTGACATCATTTTTAAAAGCTTCAAGTATGATCATTCAAATTGTGCCAATAGTTTTGCCATGTGAAATCTTCCAAAATATTTTCAGCTAAAAGAAAAGTTGTTTACATAGAATTTAGTAAAGTGATTCGATAGTTTTTAACCAACCCGTGTATATTTTAAATAGTTTTATCTGATAATATTAACTTTTGTTTCATCTGTTAAAAGGGATTATACAGTGCTACTGAAAATAAATTGATGTTTTATTATATAGGGTATATTTTCAATTATTAATAGCATATTTTCAATAGTTTTATCCGATAATATTAACTTTTGTTTTCATCTGTTAAGAGGGATTATACAGTGTTAACGAAAATAATTGATGCTTTATTACATAGGGTATTCTCTGACAACCTCTCTTGATACATATTTATAGAATTCTCTTCAGAAAAGAAGGAAAAAAAAACAAAGTTATTATAGATCCAAACTACTCTTTAAAAGCCCGGAATATCCTGGTTGGTTGGGCGTTGGGCCCATGTCCAAGAGGCTGTGAGTTCGATCCCCGTCTGCCGAAGGTTCACTGTGTAGTAAATGGTGATTGGTGGACGTTAAATCTGTCTGATCATGAAGTCCTGCATGTTCCCATTGCAAATTATACGTCTAGGGGTACTGAATTGGAGATTGGTAATTCCCTGGTTCAGGTCAAAATTACGATCTGTGGATGAATGAACGGGTGTATGAATGGGTCCACCCTATAAACGGGCTGTGACGTGTGTGTGGTTTAAGTCGTGTTCCTGGAGATAGGTGGCTCCACTGAAAAACATGAAACGTACCATCTACCTTAAATTCGCTTGGTTTCCCCATGCAGGCTTACTGATATTGGTAAGTGGCATTGGAAACAACAGCAACACTACTGTTTAGGCGGGGAAGGAAAAAAAAAGCTATTTATAAAGGAGAAAGGAAAAACAACAAAACCACCTTAAATACCTAAATGTTTTTCTTCTTTTTACTCCTCTCTCTAGCAATCAAACAGATTTTATCGTTTCCAGTCCCGTATTTTGATTTATTAGGTTTCGATAACCTTTCTGCCTTTTTTTGTCTCGCTCAAATGTAAATTGTGCATTCTTTTTTTACTTCACTTTTGGCAAGAATTACAAAAATAAATGTTAAGGGCAGTGATTGGGGTATTCCTTGTATTGTTTGTTGGTATTTACTTTCTTCTGTAAATTAGATAGTTGAACTGTTTTTAATAAATTGTTTGCACTTCAAATTTAGGTTTTATGATACCTTCAATTTATATTAAAAAAAATTTTTTTAACAGGTCAAGGTCAACCGAGCGTCTTGGGTAAGACGCGTCGTCCCAGGACGGCGTTCACAAGCCAACAGCTTCTAGAATTAGAGAACCAATTTCGAATGAACAAATACCTCTCCAGGCCAAAAAGGTTCGAAGTGGCCACCAACCTCATGCTTACGGAGACACAGGTAAGAATATTTTAAACTCTTTTACAACAAAAATAAAATAAAAAAATCTTAAATTAACAGTTTAATTTTATATTATCGAATTTATTTTGTTGAAAAAAACTGAATAGAAGTAAAAACTGAGAGTTCAAGCATTCAAGGAAAAAAAAACATTATCTTATTTCTGTTTCTGGCAAGATTTTTATCATCTTTAAAAATAACATTAAATTATGTATTAAAATTATTTTTAAATTCTCTATATTTGCGAAATTTTAAGAGTATAAACATTGCAGTCATATAGCGCTTTAGATTAAAAATAAAAACATATGACCGTAGACGCTTATCACTAAAAAAATCTTTTCCTTATTGAAACATTGTGCCATGTTTAACTAACCTGACAGTTATAATGAATAACTGTTACATATTTACAGCTATAAAAAGTCCCAGTTGGAGGACAAACAGTGAATTTTTGTTTTAAAAAAACGAAGCTATTAATAATATAGTATCACGTTTTTAAACATTAAATCATAAGCATCAAAAAAAAGAGTGAGAATGCCCACAAGCGCGTTTTATACGTCTTTCCCCCATGTATTTGCTGAGAAAAAAAGTACATTCGCGAACAAAAATAATTAATTTTCTTAGCCCTGAAGTTTTAAACTAACAATGTTAAAGTTAATTCTGACAATGTTGAAGTTACCTATCTGAAAAATATAAACATTTCCACCCCTTGGACAGAGTTGTTAATTTTCAGAAAAATTAAAATACTGCCAACAAAAAGATTTTATTTCTGCTTTTTTTCTTCTTCATAAAAAGTAAATTTTCCGCGTCACCTATTAACCTATTACCACTACCTATTAACATTTATTGAATATATATTTGTGAATGTTCTCAAAATCTACTCTTATAAGTAATTCTATTCATACTTTCATGTATTAATTCAGTAATTACAATGGCTAAGTGCCATTTTCTCCTTTAACTCTCAGTTTTTTACAGATGTTTATCAACACGGGATGAATGGGGAAAAGGTCAATTTTGGCCTCAGATGCCACTTATACATACCTGTCCAGACCGAAATAAATTTTTTAATTGTAATAGTAGCAAATATTTTGCTCTTTTTTTTTTAAAGGAAAAAGATAAAAATGAAATGTTCTTACTACCAATTACACATCTTTTTCGAAATTTTGCAGTACTTGCTCTATCAGCTCAGTTACGAAAATTATGTGTTTGCTTAATTGTTAAATATGTTACATCAGCATGCTCTCTGATATTTAAGGTCATTGGGAAATAATTTTCCATGGTGGTAAGCTGAAGAGGCAATTTTAAAATGAAAGCGGACAGCCACAAAACGGCGAGTTTGTATAGGCGAAGCACGTGATCACCGCAGGCAGCTAGTTTGATATAAATTACTATTCACAAACCAAAAAATTTGATTAGATTTCTTGTAATATTTAAAGTTATTGTATACACCGTGCTGACGAAAACCATCGGAGGTTTTCGTGGTTTTCTACTCCATGTCACAAAGTCCTCCACGAAGGCAAATTTCTCCCAATAATTGATCCAAGAGTCTTCTGAATTGGGTTCAAAATCCTAAGGCTACGGAGTTGAACATTATTAGTTGCGAACTCAAAATTGGGTAGGCTGTTCAACGACGGTTATAAAATAAAATAAAAAGTGATTATATACTAACAGTTGAAGTAAGCAAAGCTTTTTGAACCAGAAAGTTACAAACGTGAAAATTTTTGAAAAGTGGAGACAAGCGCTTAATAAAACGCTTAATTTTAAACGATTTTTAAAATTAAAATATCACTTAATTTTAGGAATTAAGTTGGTCAGTTATATGGCCGGAATAGCCTGGTTGGCAGGGTGCTGGACTCATGTTCGTGAAAACGGGAGTTCGAATCCAGCCGGCCGACGTCTCCCCGTGTCACTGGTGCTCGTTAAATCTGTCGGGTCAAAAATTCCTCCGTGTTCCCATAACAAATTATACTTCTTGGGGGGAAAGGGTACTGGATTGGAGATTGATCGTTCTCTGGAACAGGTAAAAAATTACGATCTGTGGATGAATGAATGTATGTATGAATGGGCCCGCCCTATAAACGGGTGTGAGGTATAGGTGAAGCAGAAGTCGAATTTTTGGCCACTGGAAAACAAGAAAAATCGCACCCCTTGTCGTAATGGTCTACGCCAACAACAACAACAGCAAGTTGATCAATTTTAACATCCAAATATATTCCCTTTTGATTTACAAATATATTTTGGTTGATAGGAATACGTCGAAAACAATTTGGTTCTTCAATATTTTCTACCAATTCTTAAATTTTTTCCCCATTTGTGACCACCCTGTCTACGTTGCTTATGCTTCAAATCTTCACCACGTTTCTTAACCAGAAATACCAACTTTCTCCGCCTTGCGGGAAAATTTTTTTTTCTAGATGTAAACAAAATTTCTATTCTAATGTTATGATAAATGCATGATTTATAAACACCTAGAAAATATTATTAACTGGTAACATTTTTGTTATACAGAGCTATCTCTTTTACTATCGAATTAAAATTTCATATCACTTTCGGATCTATCTATATTAGTGATTCTCAACCCTTTTTTTCTGGCGGCACACTTATAATGATTTCAAAATTTGACGGCACACAGTGAAAAAAAATAATTTAAAAGTTGTTTACTTACCAATAATATGCTGTGTTAAATAGTCTGTGATAATAATTTTGAATGTGAAATAAAATAATATGAAGCACGTTTATTAAGGGATTAATTATTCCTTTCGACTAATTTTTTATTAGTTTGTAACAGTTATTTATCTTTTTTGCTAGTTATTAATTGTTAGCTTGTTTTCTATAGTTATTAACTGTTCGTTTTTTTACATTAATTATTATTTTTTTGTGATTTCTTGTTAATTAGTTTTTTTGCTAATTATTAATTGTTAGCTTATTTTTTTTTGTTAGTTATCCTTCGTTAATTTGCTTTTATAACTAATAACTGCATAGCTAACTTTAATGATTAGCTTTTATTTCCGTTGGAAAGTTAATATTTAGCTTGTTTTAGCCTTTGTTAATTATTTTAATAGTCATTAAATTTCCTACTTACTTTAATGTGCGTCAAAGACAATTCAATTTATACTGTGTGTCAAAGACAATTTAAACACTTCCTTCTTATTTTAAGTTATTTTAAGATTGTCAGAGACAAGACAATTGCCGACAAAGATGTTTGCTCGATTAAAGCGTGGAAAAATTATAAAAAGTATATATATGTACACTTTTCTTTAATTTAAACTTTACTCGTAATAAAAAAAAGCATTATAATTTTTATTCCATCATTTCTAATATTTGGCGGCACATTTTGAGAATTTGGCGTCATACAAAAGTGCCGNTATTTATTTACTTAGAGAAAATAAAATATTCTGGTAGCTACAAACATGATAATATAAAAAATTTATATTAATTTTACTACCACTTTCTCATTTCTACGACTCGATTCAATAATTAAAGATTATTCAAATAATAAAAGTATGATAAAATAATGTTTAATAAATAAAAGTGAATTGAGTTTCCACCACTTTTTACATAGTCACCGGTTACTTCCCTGAATATATAGTTTCTTCTGGTTTTTTAAATAAAAGTATGATAAAATAATGCTTAATAAACAAAAGTGAATTGAGTTTCCACCACTTTTTACACAGTCACCGGCTGCTTCCCTGAATATATAGTTTCTTCTGATTTTTTTTAATTGAATATAAGTTGTTGCTTAAATCATTGAAAATCAATTTTATTAAATTAAAAAAAGTGCTAAGACATAATATTCTCTACCATTTCTTATGCTTAAGAAAAATCCGCTGATAAATAGAGTAAAATTAGTATCGTGTATTAACCTTTATAGTTGATTAAAAGATTTTTAATGATTAAGATTGATTTTTGATTGGGATAAGATTTTTTGGTGTTTTATCAATTCAGTACTTTAAGATTAAAAATAGTTCCAGTTTGATTTTACTTAATTTTTAAAACGGGTTGACTAGAAGAAAGCACCCCAATAAGGAACTATAATCACTCGAAAACCATTGTACATGCTACGGTTAAAGTAATAAAACCGGCTATTATTAATGCTAACCAGTCAATATTAATAATAACCACTTCGTTTGGTCAGAAATATCGCAGATTATTTACTTCAACCTGTTATTATTGATAGTAACCAATTAAATTTGATCAATGTGATTAAACGGTAAACAAGGGTGTGCCTCTTTGTATATGTGTTACGGTTAAAGTGATAAATCCGATTATTATTAATACTAACCGACGAAAATTAGTAATAACCGTTTCTTTTGGTTAAAGTGGGAAATGAAAAGAGGAGATTCCCGTATCGTGATCTGTGGCAAAATAATTGATAAGCAATAAATTTTTTAAAAATAAATTTTTTCAACGGCAAAATAATTTTTGCCGTTGACCATTAAAGTTGAGGAGATGAAATTGTTCTTGTTTTCCAGTGGAGCCATCTGTGACCATGAATTCGACTTCTGATACACCTAAATGTCACACCCGTTTATAGGGCAGACGCATTCATAATTTATACACCCATTCATTCATTCACAGATCGTAATTTTGACCTGAACCAGAGAACGATTAATCTCCAATTCAGTACCCCCAGAGGTATTTATTTGTATCGGAAGATGGAGGATTTCGTGACCCGACAGATTTAATATGTACCAATCACCATTTACTGCACGGGGAGTCTTCGTCCGGCTGGATTCAAACTCCCGTTCCCATAAACATGAGTCCGACTCCCTGCCAACCAGGCTATCCTGGCGAATGGATTTATTAAAATTAATTATTAGTAAGCTTTTTGGACAAATTTATCAAAATTGTCCATTTTAGCCACCTTTGCATTTGTCTTTTGTATGTAGGTGCATGCTCTTAAGCTTAGGGTAACTCTTACTCAAATCAAAATTCTATGTTTAATTTTCGATATAAATATTTTAAATACTTGGTTATTAAACGATAAGCTTAGACATTTAATAAAAAGTTGGATTTAAAAACAATTTCAATAATATAATTCCAATGTTAAAAGGTATTTGAATGTAATTCTATTTTAATGTTTATTTCTTTGCGCTTTAAAAGCAATTCAAACGATTGTGACAATCTATTTCGTGCCACAAGGACATTCCAAGCGGTAAAGAAAAATTATAAACTTTAACCGTAACTCTTTCTGCGTCTTCCGACGTGAGCTAAAAGCCATATTCACTATAGAAACGACAGAGAAAAAAATAAATAAATAAATTCAATCCAAGAATATTTTATTTTTGAAAGCCAGAAAATCACCGAAAAGCGAAACGGGCAAAATGTCGACTGTACAGGAAGTGGGAGGGGGTGGAGTGCAAAAAAGTCGACGTATAATGATAAAAAATCTCACATTTATTTTCTCCATGCTCCCGAGAAATCGCCCGTCAATTTCCACTATACCCTTCTCCCATTTTACCCTGACTGAAATTGAAACGAAAAAAAAAAAAAAACTTAAGAAAGAGGAGGGGGCGATAAAAAAGAAACTTTCTTTTCTTCCTTTATTTTTTTGTAACGATACCATAAGGGATGAGGAATAAAAAAAAAAAAAAAAAAAAAACAANAAAAAAAAAAAAAAAAAAAAAAAAAAAAAAAAAAAAAAAAAAAAATAAGAGATGGGTTGGCAACATTAAAGGCCAAAAAACTCCTTTTCTCTCTATTTTCGATGCTGACCGCCTCAATGTCTCCAAAAACGATTCCAATCGGTGGAAGCGCCCCTGTAAGACGGGGCAGGGGGGAGAGGATGAAGAATCTGCTCTCTGCCCACACCCCCAAGAAGAAAAGAAGATAGAAAAGAGCGTAAGTCAGAAGATCTTTGGCAATCATCTCTAAGCCGGGGCGCAGCAATAACAACTCTCTGACGAGAAGAATCGTAATAAATTGGACATTTTGGGGTGAATAAAAGTTGGGGCGCCCCTGTTCTCCCCACTTTTACTCCTCCTGATTCCTGATTAGCCTAACTACAAGTAAATTAGGGAGATGAATTGTTGGTAGGGTCTTCAGGGTTCTCTTCCTTTGCAGACAAAGGCTTCGGCAATGATAATTAGCGAAGCAACGGCGCCGCTTCATTTAATTATACGCCATTCTTCCTTACTCCTTCCTTACCCTTTCTCTTCTTTCTTTTCAATTGACGCCATCTTTGAAGCAAGGATAAGGGACCATCTTCAAGATATCGTTTTCTCAGTTTAGGAGGCTTAAATATACAGGGGTTGATCAAAATAATGGAAATGCTTCTGTACTAACTCTATGTAAACAAATTTTCCTTTAGCTACAAATGTTTTGGAAGAGTTTATATGGTTTAACTGTGGAAACAATTTGAAAGATCATGCTTGAAGCTTTAAGAAATTATGTCTTTTTTCCCCAGTTAAAGTTCGGATCTACCTAAATGTGGGTGAAAGTTAATAACTTCTTTCTAGTTGTACTGAAAATATGAAATTATTATATAGGACTGCGTCTTTTATATGCGAATGCTTTTTAATTACTGCGGTATTGTAAAAGAAATCAGCTTTTTACTTTCTATGAAAATTTTGGTCAATACAAAATTTTATGATGAAATGAAAAAAGAGGGTGGTGTAACTACCACTATAAATATTAAATACTAATTCACTAGTATATAATACACGTCAACGTAAAAATATTTAATACCAATTCACTAATATCGTTATTATCGAGTCTCGTTATTTTGATTAAGTCTTGAGGTACCATTTCATACATGAAACATTTGTAGCTGTAAAAGAAAAATTGCTTACACAGAGTTAGTACAGAAGAGTTTCCATTATTTTGATCAACTCCTAAAAGCTTATTTGAATTTGAGAAAACTTTTGAGTCTGCTTATTAAAAGTAGTGGTTGTTAAACGTTATTCGTTTACAATGTCGTCGTCATTCGTTTACAATGTCGTCGTCATTCGTTTACAATGTCGCCGTCATTCGTTTACTATGAACAAGGCATTAAATAGTTATTGAAAATTTCAAGAAGGTCATCCACCATTGTGTACGTAAATATAAAAACTGATTTTTCATAACATGCAAGGAGTTTCTGGGAAGCTAAAATTTTTTCATCGAACAAATGTTTTCGAATTTCTCCTCATAGCCAACTAAAGCTACATCCACACTTTCTCACCTTTATTTCATCTTGCATGTCGTAGGTATTCATTATAAAAATCATTTCATTGTATTTGAAACAATGGAAAACTTTGATGGAGGAAGATAAGTGGCACTCTTGTAATCCTTAGAAAATTAGTTTTAAAACACATAAAAGCCTCTAGAATATAAAGCGATTTAATGCATGGAGTAGGTGGAATTTTCTTTTTATTTCATATAATATCTAAGTTTGCTTTGTTTTTGATATTATGTGTTCCCCGCCCACTCAGAAATAAAACTCTTTTGAGGATTTAGCAATCCTTGAGCTGTATTTCGTTTATTTTGAGAATCATTTCGTCACAAAATCACGTGATCAATGATGAAACTCAAACTCTCAAATGTATAGCGAAAATGCTTACCAGCCAACTTGTATGGTCGTTGAAAAAGAGTTCACAAAGTGATACTAAAACAAAAATTTAGATTGGAAGAATTTTCAAAAAACAAAACCATAAAGACACCTATGAGCATAATTAGCCAACAAATAGATCTTATCTACATATTTTTTTAAGCTATTGATTCACCGTGGTAGTTAAAAAAATGTTTTCAAACTTTGAACTTCAAGATTCAATTTACCAAAACGCTAATGTTGCTACCACTAAGAAAAATATTTTTCAATGGCCGTATAAGTTGGCAGCCATGCAAATGTGACCTCAACTCGAAACCTCAAGGCAGTGTGGAGATAGTTAACTAAAAAGACAAAACTAAGATGAAGATTACCCGATCGAAAATAAAGTGAGAAAGCATACCGATCGGGCTGTATAGTGATCAAGGATACTATACAGCCCGATATCTCACAAGGGATCACCTCATACCAAGGTAATCCCTGGTTCGTATCCTGCTTCGGGCATGGGTGTAATTTGACTATCTGTTTTATCTGAATCTCTTGTGTTGTTGGTGTGACATTGATCTAGGTATATGGTGCCCTAAATAAAGTGATTATTAGAAAACTTAGTACTTAAAGCGCTAAGAGCGTTCTCTTTTTCGAAAAAAATAATAATAAAATGACGAAATATTTTTTAAACTTTGACGAAATTCGTTTCCTTGAAGAAGTGATGATAGTTATTTCGTCACTAGCCACGCAAATGTGACCTCAACTCGAAACCTCAAGGTAGTGTGGAGATTGTTAACTAAAAAGACAAAACTGGGATGAAGATTACCCGATTGAAAATAAAGTGAGAAAACATACCGATCTGGTTCTATAGTGGTCACGAATACTATACAGCCCGATACCTCTCAAGGGATCACCTCATACCAAGGTAATCCCTGGTTCGTATCCTGCTTCGGGCATGGGTGTAATTTGACTATCTGTCTTATTTGAATTTCTTGTGTTGTTGGAGTGACATTGATCTAGGTATATGGTGCCCTAGATAAAGTTATTATTAGAAAACTTAGTACTTAAAACGCTAAGAGCTTTCTCTTTTTCGAAAAGAAAAAATGACGAAATATTTTTTAAATTTTGACGAAATTCGTTTCCTTGAAGAAGTGATGATAGTTATTTCGTCACTTTGACGAAATTTTTGCGTGACGCATACATCAGGAAGCGAAATTCATCAAAAGCAAAAAAAAAAGTTTCGTGATATTTGAGTATTAATATATTTCAGTGCATCCTAAAAATAAATTTGATTCTTTTCAGGTGAAAATCTGGTTTCAAAATAGGCGAATGAAGTGGAAAAGAAGTAAAAAAGCCCAACAAGAATCTAAATCAAGGACTGATTCAGACTCGACGAACAAGAGTTCGAATCGAGCGTCAGACGGCGTCGTGGTGATGGAACACGGAAAAAGGACCACGTCAGACGAAGAGGAAGAGCACGACATCCCTTCTTCGCCCTACTGCGATTCTTCTGATCGAATTTTGAACTCTGAACACTTACCCGTTGGCATGTGTCACGCCCAGCTGGACATTAATGGGGACTGCAGCGACAACAGTTCACACGGGCCATGCCCTTCGCCTAAAGACACGATATATAGACCCTACATTGTTTAGCACGCTTTGTTATGTGAAATAAATCATCAACGTAGTGCAATGATGAGCAATATATTGGACAGTTGTATATATTTAACGCCGAGCGAAAACGTTTAGAAGTTGGATTGGCTTATTTATAAACAGAAGCTGATTGTTCCTGACTAGGATAATTTTATTTTATTTAAATTAAAAGCTATGTAACGAACTATAATGGAGATTTTTTTTTCAGAGGTAAAACAGGAAAGTAAATTTTATTTCGTTTAAAATGTCTGGTACTTCTGCATTCCGATGAAAACTAATAAAAAATATCCAATAAAAAGATACTGGCTAACATATGCAAGGTGTTCCGTAAAGACTGCTTTTTATATAGATTTTTAGAATCCTTTTCAAAGAGGTTAACAAAAAAGTAAGCGAGTTAGTGTTCGCAAACTAATATTTGATTACAAAAAAGAAAAAAAAAAAAAAAGAAAAAAAAACCAAATAAAATCTGACAAATCACAGTATAGGAAGGGGAACGTCATAAACTGCAAGATAGATTTGATTTTGGGAGGAAATAGTCACAGAGAGGAGTTGAAAAGCGATTACTAGAAACACTTCCTTGTTTTAACTTACAATTTATTCTGTTTTGATGTTTATTCCATTCGCCTTTGGTTTTAGCAACCTGACGACGAGATTCGTACATGCCACCCCCACGTTTAACAAAGACGTTGGCGGGTGATACCGCTCGTTCAAGGAGACCCCTAGATATAAACTTCGTAAATTGTAATTTATTTAAACTTTTTAAATTATTTATGTGTAGCGGTGGGAAAAATAATTCTAGAAGAAATTTACTGAACCAACAATAAAACAATAAAATATTGCAAACAAATGGGGAGGAACAGAATAAAATGATAGCAATTTTGCCACAACTAAAACATTTTTTCTAACGAAGCAGAGCAAGTTGGCATCGCTATTAATATAAAAGCTACCCACATGCAATCTGTTGATGTTGCATTTTCCATCATTACATAGTGTTGTGTTTGCACTATATCGGAGGAAAAGAGGTTAATTCAATAATTGGTTGAAATATTATCCACGGTAGCTTAAAGGGAAATATATTAATTAAGAAAATGTTAATGTTGCAGAGTTATGAAAATTCAAATTTTTTGTATGAATGAAAGAGTACCATTTCATGTTATTAGCTTTTTGTAATTTAATTTTATGGATTTTTATATTTTATGAGTCTCCTGAAAAAAATAAATACATGAATGAGTAACGATATTGAAGTTTTAAGTAATTACAATATTTTCCTTGTAATAAAAACAAGAATGAAATTTAGTATCCAAAGAATATTCAAGAGAAAAATATAACCCTTTGATTACGATGGCACACCGGTATTCCTTTATATATATATANTTTTTTTTTTTTTTAAACTGCTGTTTGTTATTTTTTTACTTATTATCCCCCCCCCTTTTTTTTTCATTTGTGTATTATTTTTCTTTGTTTTATTCTTCATTTTGAACATATATATATATATATATACATACAACAAAATAAATAAATACAAGAAAACACGAAGAAAGTTAAGAAAAACAATAAGTTTCATTTATTGCGCATAAGCTGCAAGTAAACAGAACTCATTAGATAAGTTCAAAAAGAGGATAAAACAAAGGAAAATTATAGACAAATGTAAAGGGGGAGGGAAATAATAATTAATGAAAAAAATAACAAACAACTGATTTAAAAAAAAATTTAAAAAAAGGGATGAAATTTTTTTAAAACTGGAAAATAAAAGATATAATCTTTTCATCAGCCCACACGATTATATCCGCAAAAAAGAGTGCTTTCTGATATTGTATCAATATAGCCAAAGCAAAATATATTAATACAATAGTGTGAGGTGCACTCAAATTTTTTTTTCACAAAAATTACAACAAATAAAATATAACACAATAAGTAAAAATAACGCGTAAAAACAGAAAATAAAATAAAATTAAAAGAAAAAACAGTATAAAACAAAATCTCTAATAACGAAATCAGATGTACTTACATGAACGGGAAATATTTCAAGAATGATTTAAAAATATTTTCAACAAGATTGCCAGATTATAAAATATGAAAACAAAAGCGCAACGGCGTAAATATAAAATTTATGCAATGTAATATAAATTAACGTAAAATAATGCAAAACAAAGTAAAATAATGTAAAATAATAATGTCCTAAATCAATGGAAAATAATGTAAAAAAGTATGAAAAATATGTGAAATAAAAATTCTGCGTCAAAGGGTAAATAACTTATTTATGCTTCACAATGAAAAAGTCAGCGAGAATGTTTTAATTGTTTTTTTATTCGACAGTTTTATTCAAAATAATGAATATTGTCAATCAAAAGTTAACTTCTGAGTAAAACTTGCAGAAATATTTTTTTTATAATTTTAATTGTTATAGTTTATCACAATTATAAAATATTAAGATTGCTCTTAAGATTTTTTAAGATAGTTATATATTGCATTTTTCTTGGGAAAGCAAACAAACCACCATGTCAGTGTTGAATTAAAACAATTATGTGTGTACTAATTTTCGTTCTTGTGTTTGTTATTATCAATAAGGTGTTGTTGTCAGAATAGCTAGTTAATCAATTCCAAGAAACTTTTTTCTCGTAGTTATTTTATTTATTTATTATTATTTAGTATTATTTTTTAGAATAATGATGCAATTAACTCTATTTATTAATAAAAAATACCTTTAGACCAATGCAGTAACAATTTATTATATACTCCGAAATCTAAATTTCGATTATGTTTTGAAAATATTACATAAAATAATTAAGTATTCTTACATTTTAAGATAAGATGTCAGTTTCTCTTTTAATCATCGTTTTATAATTTGATGTTCAATATATTTAGTTGCTTTTAAAACATTTTATTTTACATACTCAAAAAAGGATTTCCTTGTCTGTAGAATGATTGAATGTAAATAATGCGCTGCGCATGCGTTTCATTTTCATCATCAGAACAACATGAAGTTGAAAAAAACAAAATGTAATTTTACATAAATGTGTGTGATTTCATATTTTGATGATGGCTGTATATATTGTAATAAACTATGTGAGAAGATTAAATACAAAATACTGAAAATCTTTCGTGTTGTCATTCTTTCGTTGTTATTACTTTTTTATGGTGTGGCAGGTAACATGGAATTATGAATAATTTTTTTTAATGACTTAAATTTAATTGACATTTTATGCACAAATTTTACAGTGGACATAGTCACCGTGAGTGGTCCATTATTATAATTTTAGATAAAAATTTTACGAAATTAAAATAGTGATAGTGGTAACAGGCTAAATTTTTCTCTGACTTCAAAATGCCATAAAGCCCCGCAGTGGACTGATCGTTAAGACGCGGTTCCCAGCAGATCCCCGAATTCAAGCATGACCACTTGCGGTCAGTGTGCGGGTGGGTGACCACTTGGATCTGTCTGTGTAGGGACCGAGGGTGCGCTGTATTGGTTCTTTTTAAACTGTTCTACTGTAAAGTGCTCTACTTTGCGTGCAGGTAATCGGGCTACCGAAGCGGGGGTGCCATCCCCTCTGCAGAGGATCTGAATTACGATGGCGTGTCTTCGGATGATCCTCAGGGATGTTTACCATACCGTCACCAACAGCCCATTGTGCAGCTCTAGTGCGACATAAATGATCTACAACAACAACAAAATGCCATAAAAATTTCGAATGACTGAACACTAAAAAAAAAAAAAAATCATACGTAAAACAAATTTAAATAACTTAAATAAAAAGCTTCTATTTTACATAATAATAAATTGTGAATTTATATAAATTGCATTGTGAATTTATATGATATTGAATTGTGAAATATAATATAATATTGAATTGTGAATTTATACATGGTGGCAACAAATAACGGGGTAAGACATTTTCAAATTTATTTTTCTTAATTTAGAGAAATTTGGGCCATAGCAGAAAACACATTCAAGAGGTTATGGAGTTGCATAACTTGACTGTGGTAGAGAGAGGGCAAGCGTATCTAGATATTTCCTTAGCGGGACGCATATTGTCCGGCCACAGTCAGCCCGACTTTCGTGCAGGAATTGCTTGAGTGACTCTAAACTTTTGTGGAGACACACTCTGGTTCCCAGGAAGGACCACATGTTCGTTATTGTGATGCATACATATTGCATATAGGCATTACATATTTCTTAATTTTCAAAATTTCTTTAATTTCTAAAAAATCATTCTTAATTTTATTATAATTAAATAAATCATTTAATTTTTACCATAATTTATAAAAAGCGAATATAAATAATTTTCTTAACAAGTGTTTCGGTTATAGGGTTACATTAAATTCTCACGATCTTTTGGTGATTAAGTTGTAGCCAGATTATTTAAAATGTAATATTAATAACGCGGGGTTAGCTTTGTATTTTGACTATATTATCTATCGATAACTTGCCAACTTTGAATCTCTCCTCCTGTTAAGTGTCCATTAGTAACTATTCACTGGTAATTTAAAACTTCTTGGTGGTTAGACTGGGCTGATGCTTGATTGCAGCTCAATCTGATCGTCAATTGTTGCAAAAATTCTCAAATTATTTGTAGTATCTCAGCAGTAATCCTTCTTTCACTATAAACGAAATGCACTAGGCATCACCACTACTACAATCATGTCTTCCATAAATAAAGTCTGTATTAAGTGTTCAATCATCTAGTGAAAGGTACCCCTAAATTGAATCAAGTTAGCATGACTTATATACTAAGTAATTGGAATTGTATTTTTGTAGTGGTAGATATATTACAGTACTCCCCCACCAGAATTTTATCTGTGATAGAATTCGATGAATGGGGTACCACTAGTTGATTCATTGCTGTTTTGTGAGAAGCCGGGAGAGCTGCATTAAGATCACCGTACTTTTTGAGTGCTGAACGTGAGAGCTCTATTTACTTCACGGTCGTGGTCACTCCTGTGTTGCATTTAGCTGTCGAGTGCATGCGCTGTACCTTGGACGTGATCGAGACTGAGAAGCAACAGCGAGAGGAGGACAATGTCGCAGTCACGCGTAGCAAGTCAACCGTTCAATGTGGACCATCCATCGAAGTTGGCGTGTTCATTTCGAAGTGGGAGTTTCTGTCAAGGTAGGCATGTTCACATTACGTCCGGGTCACCAATGGGGGAAGTGTTGTTATCGATAATGTCAATCTTCATCTATGAAAAGGTATCCCAACATAGAATTTAGTTAACATGTCTTATATACTAGGGAATTGGAATTGTATTTTTGTAGTGGTAGATACACTACAAGTTCATTGACTTAAGATCTGGTGGATTACGTGGATGCGATGTAATTTTTAAAAAAAATGGTCTTCGTACCTATTCCGAGTCATTTTTGTGAGCCGGAGCGCTGTCTTGCTGAAGTAGCCAACCTATATTGCGAAAAGCTGCTCGCAGAAGTACTATGGACTCAAGGATTTCCCGTCAGTGCAATTCTTGGTTGATTTAATACTATTGATCTACGCAAATGTGAAGTGTCTTGCCATTGGCACAAATCCAGCCCCAAACCATGACCGACTGCAGGTTTTGAAGCTTCTCAACGATTGAAGAGATACTGGCAAAGCTTCATTTATAATTCAGGGGACCGCAGTTGCAAAAATGTTTGGGGCCCCATAGTTCCTCAAATTTGTATGCTGTTTATTTATAAAATGATTTTAAACTTTTTATAACATAAGTAAATTATAATATGTTTGCAATTTCGCGTTTATATTTATTTCAATTTTCATTAACTTATAATTTCAATAGACAATTCTTAAGGAAAAATGCACAAAATTTTTTTTGTAACATTTAGGGGGCCTACAGACATGTAGGAACCCTAGGCCTCTCAGACCTTGTTATAATTCTGGTTTTGGATATGGGGAGTACAGAGCTGCCAACAACTACGCGGTTTGCAAAATATTTTATAGAGTGGTAAACAATCAAAAACTAAAGTTTTCCAAACTTTGGTTCATTTAGACAAGTTATTAAAAGTTTTCCACGAAAGAACTGATACAAAATGGCTTTTTATATTAACTTTTGACTCATTTCCATATAATGCTGTAAGAAAAGTTAAAGAAAAAATCCAACATTAATACATAAAGTTTACGAAAGCTAGAAAATCTTTTTTCCACAA